TTTGAAGGCTTTTTAAGATTTGGGCTTTTTTTTTTTTTTTTTTGCAAGTTATAATGGATTGGAGGTGGTGCATTCCTAAGTTTTAGCACCCAGCACAGTGCCAGATAAAATGAGATTGAATGCTGGTACCAATTCTCCCTCAAGTCGGAAAAAAATCATGGCACCTGCTTGGGAAGCTCTGCCTTTGAGGAGCCTTTGGGCTCCTCTAGCTCATCTCTTCACTTTATAGATAAGAGCCTGAGCCCAGTGGAGGGAGGGAGTTTCTGAGGACCAGGGGACCTGACTGGGATTCCAGGGGTCTTTCTGACACCAGAGTTGATGCATTTCCCCCACATGGCAGGCCAAGTTTTGTCTGTGATCCTGGTACTGCTCCCCTCTGAGCCTCAGTTTCCCTAACAGTGAAATGAGTAGGTTGAACTAGATTATCTCTGAGGTCCTTCCATTTCAAAAATTCTTTAGGTCATTCTCATTTAGAATATGAAAGTCTCAGTTCACCTTAATCCCTATTTACTTTTAGCTTAATGCATCTGATTTGAAAAGAGTGTTTGCAAAATAGCTACAGTTCTTGACATTTTAAGTTTAAAAAAATAATCCAGAAGAGTTCAATACCGAAAGCTAGAATGTGGTGTCAGTAGCATAACAAATAAAAATGATATTCTTTTTAAATTCCAACCATATGATTTAATTTTATATTTCTTTCTTTCTATTTGAAAGAAAAATAACACAAACTTGAAAAGCAGTAAATATGTAAAGAGAAAATTTGTCAACTGATATTGGAAGATGTGACCTAGGTCACACATAAATCTCTCAGACAAGAGCTGCAGGGCAAGCCATAATTTCAGACAGTAAAAGAGAAAATGAAAGCTATAGCTGGTCTTCTCTAAGTTACATAGGTGGATTCACTTTAGTTTTCTGATTGTGCTTCTGAATATAATATAAAAGGGATGGTAGCCACGTCGATTTTTCCACTGTTTGTAAAAAGCTCTCTGCAGAGAGAAGCATAATGTGAGACTCCCAGAGTTGCTTTTTATCCCTAGTCAGAGCCCCACAAGCAGACTTTTCATTGGCAATTTCCTTTCCAGGCTCATTTTCCAAACTCTCAAGTCATGTTATAGGACTTTTTCTGACTGCCAGCTAACTATATGATCCTTGCAAGGAAATACATGATCAATGTTACTGCAGTAACATCCTAATACCTAACTGATACTTTGCGTGACTTATGAAGTCTTTCTTCCCCCATTTAAATACATAAGGGTCTTACATCAGAATAGGGCATAACTAACCCTTGTTAATGTAGCTTAAAATCTTGGATCTAAGGGCTGTTAAAAGAAAAAAAGCTATGCCCAGAGGAGGGAAGAGGTTCATCTAATTAGTGTATCAAAATGCTACTAGTTCTAGAGACTGATTAGCAAAAGGTAGGACTGGAGCAATTACTATTCTGTTCATTGCCCCAAAGTACTAGTTAGACATAGAAAACTCAACAAAAGCAAAATGTTCAAGCAAGAATGTGGACTTGGACAAGTTAGTTATTAACAACATTTCATGTGTTGTGAGGTGCAGGCAGTACATCAGCCCTAACAATATTATAGCATTCCTCTGAACTGTGGTCTCTCAGCTGAGCATTTGGAAGGCAGACCCAGGATAAACAGAGTCATTTGAGAAGCTAACATTTTATACTAGGTACCCTTAGCACCACTTTAAATGTGCTCTTAAACTAGGGGCTTTACTTTTTCATGAACTGTGTGCAAAAGCAGAGGCAGTGACTGGAGGTTGACTTGGTTTGGATCTGTGTTATGGTTGCTGTGCCTGTGCTGTAATGTGATCTTGAAAAAGGTAAACAACAAAGAGTTTAGCAGTGAAAAATATGCCTAATATAAATACAGTCGAGTACATGGCAGATCAGAATTTGAAAAATATGACTGTAGCATTAAATTTTCTGGTGGAATTAACAGAGGAACAGAGTATAGCCTTCAAGGCAATATATCTGAGACAGAGATAGGAGATAATACATCTAACTCTATGGTCTATGTGGCGTTCATATAAAGAAAAGCACAGTAGCTTTATTTAATTGAGAAAATGAATCAATTACAATGATGTTGCATCATCAAATTCTTGTGAAATAGAAGATATAAGTCACTGCATTGTGTAACAGTGTTAAAAAGTAATTGAGTATCTTAAGCATTTTGAATCAATTTCAGGTACTGGCACTGCTACCTTAATACAAAATTTATGAAGATGATTTCATATAATATGTTACTATGAAAACTGTGTAATAAAACCTGGTAACAACATCTCCCTTTACAAATCCAGGCAAAACAGAATAGTTGTAAGATCATTTTAAAAAAGACTTTGATGTTTCTGTTTCTCCCTTTCTTGTAGTAAAGAGCCAGCATTAAAATAGTACAGATTTAAGTTTTTTAATTTAAACCATGCATTGAACCCACACAATAAGGCAAGGTGGAAGAGACCTTCTCTAAGATCTCGGTTCATAAGGAAATGTCCTTCCTTTGACCCGTTGGTTCCTACCACTCATGTTACTGGGAACAAGGTCTCACAATCCATTCCTGAGTTAATTCTGAAACATCTCACTCAGAATGTTTGCTGAATTTTCCTCAGACACGGTTGTAATCCCCATTACTGTTGGAAATTTGTGGAAAACATTCTCTCTGAGGTCAAAATAGATTTCTAATTCGTTTTTCATTACAAGTAACTCTCCCATTGAAGTAGATATATCTTACCAAGAATAGGCAAGGTGGAGTATCCATGTGCACTTAAAAATACATAAAAGCAGCCCTAGCCGGTTTGGCTCAGCAGTTAGAGCGTCGGCCCATGGACCAATGAGACCTGGGTTCAATTCCGGCCAAGGACACATACCTCGGTTGCAGTTTGTCCCTGGCCCTGGTCAGGGTTGTGCAGGAGGCAACCAGTCGATGTGTCTCTCTCACTTCGATGTTTCTCTCTCTCTCTCTCTCTCTCTCTCCCCTCCCCCCCTCCCTCTCTCCCTCCCTCCTAATCTGTCTAAAGATAAATGGAAAAATGTCTTTGGGTGTGGAGATAGATATAGATATAGATATAAGCACAATTACCTGGGCTTTTCAAGATTTTTTAAAGCTGGTATGGCTTATTACTAAAATCCTTCACCATTCCAGGGTGGTAGTTAACAGCTCTGTCTTGATTTTTAATATAAATCTTTACCTGCAGAACTTTATTCAGAAGTTCTCATTGACTAGAGGATCAAGGAGTAGTAACTAAGACAACATTAAGAGACTAAGACTACACCTGAAACTAATATAATATTGACTGTCACCTGTAAGTGGGAAAAAAAAAATTTTTTTTTAAATACACTAAAAGCCAGTTAGCCTGGAATAGGAGTTTCTGGAAGTGGTGTTTGGGGAGGAAGGGGGTGATAAAGAGCCCATAGGGGTGATGGTGGGTGCCGTGTTCAGTGGAGATAATACATGGGAAAGCACTTTTTAAAACACTCAAGCACTAGGTGGAAGAGTCTGCTGATCAGCCATATGGATGCAAAAGAAATGAAAAAACATAGCTTCTGCCCTTGAGAAGCTTACAGTCTAGTTGAAAAGAACCCACATGCCAAAATTGATCATTTATAAACTTTACCATGCCCAGTATATATGCGAATCTAATTGTTTTTCAGCAGTACTATGATTGTAGGCAGATGTAAAGCAGATGCGAGAGAGAAAGGAGCGTTGGGGAAGACCAGCCCAACCAAGCCTCTTCCTGCAGCCCCATCCTCTGAGAGTTTTCCCGTAGAATAGAGATGATCATTTCTGCAACCTCACAGTGGTCGTGCAGATCAACTGACAATGTGTACGTGAAAGAACTTTTAAAAGCACCATTAAAAACACATGGGGGGCCCTGACCCTCTCGCAGGTTCAATTCCAGGTCAGGGCACATACCTAGTTTGCGGGTTCAGTTTCGTACAAGAGGCAACCAATTGATATTTCTCTCTCTCTCCCCATCTCTCCCCTCTTCTCTCTAAGATCAATAAAAGTTTTAAAAATGAACCATATGGAGGACTATTACTGTTTTTCTATATTCTACCAACTGGCTGCAGCTCCGTTATGCCAGCAACCAACTGACCCATCCGTCATATTTCATTTCCGAAATTTTCCTTTATAGGAAATTTAGTACCTGGGACTCCATTTTCATTGAGTTTATAATAACTGCAAGCAGGGGGTGAGTGGGGAGGGGGCATTAAAGTGTTTAATATTTTAATTACAGTGTATTTTTATGAATTTGTGTCATATTTTAGTAACTTTCTAAGAGAGATGGCTTATCAGTGTTAAATGTGTGAGCTGCCTGCCTTTGGAATATTGATTAGGACCAGGCATTTCTTACTTCACTCTACTTTATCCCCTGAAAAACAGTATAAAATTTGCATGGATTTGATTTTCCCATAGAGCATTGCTGCCCTAGAAACCAGCTGGAGGAACTTTGGAAAAGGTGGCGTCTTTACCCTACTCCTGAGTTAGAGACAAATACTTCAACCACATAATTAAAGTTTTCTTCACAAAATAGGGGATTGTGAGCAAACACTGGCAGGAATCCAAAATTCTAATTTCTGACTATGATTTAATTTCAATTTTAAATAAATCGGTTTTTAATTTAAAAAGAGTGAGCTTCATAACATTAGCAATGATTGCAACATTAAGCCCAGTGTTCACAATCTAACAATATAAAACATTATTTATATCTGAATCGTAAACAGCCTTTTGAAATGGATTATGGTTTTTCTCCCTATTCTAATACAACCTGGAGGGTACTAAAAAGTGTTGTGTGAAATTAACATTCTGCTGACTTTCGCCTATAAATGAGAAGCGAGCTATTAACATTTGTGTATTTTCATTATGTAAATTGTGTTAACACATGCCCACAAATTGCCACCAGCAATGCAATAATTTTCTCTCAGTGATCATAATGTGTCCAAGTGAGTCATTTTGATTATGACATGCTAATTACATATTGCCTTTTTTCAGATTCAGAAAAACCAGGGATCTTTAATGGTAAGCTTTATGAGTTCAGAAAAAAATTCACTTTTCTTTTTCCTGATGGCTGCTCCCTTTGCATGCTTGAATGCCTTGTTTTAAACTTAGCAAATTGCATTTTGAAGAAAATGCAAACCTTTAACTGCCTGTATTAGATTAGGTACCATTAGAAATAATAGAACATCCTGAGCATCAATGTTTTTATAAGAGTTTGCTGTTGTTGATTAATCTTGCTATATTTTATTGCATTAATGATTTTTTCTTTCCACTCCACTGTAAAGATATTGCATAGAGGCTAATACTTTTTCCTCTCTTCTTTCCCATTGCAGCCTCTCCAGCTTCTGCAGTGCATTGTTGATGAGGTGAGGCATCGTCTTATGTGCTTTCACTCCTAAAGTCATTCCTAATGGTGTGGAAAGCTTATATTTTGTTTCCTAATGAAGCACAATGCCCAACATCCTCAGAGCAAGTTGTGTTGTATGGCTCTGAGCTGTGTTACATGAACTGGCCTTGTCCTGAATCCTGTTCTTCTGGCTCTGGCTAAGAATCGCTGCCAAAACAGACTGTCCCACAGGCTCATCCTTGGGGGGATCAGAAGCCCTAAAGACAAAACATGATAATATTAATTTATCCTCTCCCTGGCCAGATGGGGATGGAGCCGGAAATTAAAGTGGTATCATTTTTTTCCGTAGCAGATACTTGAAGTCATTCATTAGGCAAGGGTCAGCGTTGAACAGCAAACATAAGTCGGATAAAATTTGTCTTTCTTGCTTTATTTACCCAAAGCATATCAGAGTGATAAAAGTGTTCAAACGTTCTAGGTCAACAGTTCAGCTTTAATATCCTAATTAGGCATTTCCCCCAGAATATACTAACTTCTGGTGCTTTTAACTAGTATTCTCACATTTTAAGTCATCCTGCCTCTGGTCATCCTTAGCCATCAAGTTCCACTGTCCCTTTGCTTCATGGAGTTCATTTGCCTGCGTTTCTTTCTCAGTCAACTTTGTCTACTTTTTATTCTGACTTTAAACACCTTTTTTTTTCTGTAAATTAGTGGTCTTACAGTACAAGGCTTTCAATTAAGAAACATTAAGTTTTTTTTTTTAATTGAGTTTTTCTAGACTTGGTCTTGCCTACTAGCAATGTTTTATTTTTTTTTTAACTTTAATTTTAAAATACTTGTAATGAAGGCAATAAATGAGTCAGATAGGAAAGTTTAAAAGAAAAAGAAAACAAATCGTAATTCATAATTATTCCTCTCAATTAAACATCTGTATAACCAGTTATGAGGTTTGGGAGAAAAAATAAAGATCCTCCTAGGAAAAAAACAAATGCATACACATATCCCAATAATAGTAAGAATGGGGCTCTAACATCCTTAATGGTTGCATTAGTCAGTCCATATATCCCCTGCAAGCCATAAACCATGTTGGTGTAAAAATGAAGGCATCGTCCTGAAACAAATGGAGCCCCCATTATCTCAAATATCCGACAGGCCTCCTGGATCTAACAGCTCATCAATATCTTCTGTCATCTTAGATTCCAAAAACATCCTTTCCCCATCAGAATCTTCCCCAAATAAACTGGTTTTCCTGAGGCCCCCTTCAGGACTGTTGAGGGATGTACACAGGGAAATCTGGCTTGTCCGGTCAAACCCACAGCCGGCCATGCTTCCTGGGCTCTGCTGATGTTGGTCTGCCAGGCTCCTGGGCATCAGACCGCTCAGGTACAGATGTTCTTCGCCAGTAATAGATGTATTGCTGGAGAGCTAATTTGAAGGTTTTCTGGATCAAATGGATATTTTCATTCCTTATTTAAAGTAGCAGTGATTGATACTAAATTTAAAATATTTTACTTTTTTGATCTGGGCAAAATCCTGAGACTCTTAAAACTATCACAGGGAGCCCTGGCCAGTTTGGCTCAGCGGTTGGAGCGTCGGCCTGCGGACCAGAGAGTCTCGGGTTCGGTTCCCGCTAGGGGCACGTACCCAAAAAAAATAAAAATAAAAAACTATCACAGGGAGATGTTCTAAGGAGAGGAGGTCTGTGTGATGAAGGACAAGAGCGTGTAACTTACATCTTTGTATGTGTTTCTTTATTTCTTCCTGTGTAAAAATTGCCCTGGCCAATGTGGCTCAGTGATTAGAGCATTGGCCTACGGACCAAAGAGTCATGGGTCCGATTCTGGTCAAGGGCACACGTACTTTGGTTGCAGTTTGATCCCCGGCCCTGGTTTGAGTCGTGCAGGAGGCAGCCATTCAATGTGTCTCTTTCAAATTAATGTCTGTCTGTCTGTCTCTCTCTCTCTCTCTCTCTCTCTCTCTCTCCCACACACACACACACACACACACACACACTTCTTCCTTCCCTCCCTCTGTCCAAAAATCAATGGAAAAATATATCCCTGGATGAGGATTAAAAAATATATGTATTAAAATATCTTCTTTATAGAAACCTGGAAAATTTACATTGTCTTCACTAAAACAAACGTGAGTTGGTCTTGGAACTGAGCTGATGTTCAGTAATAAGAGCATTAGGAAAGAACTGGCCAGATGAATGTTAGGCAAGGTGCATTATAGCTTCTAAGAAAGAGAGGACTGGTGGGGTCCTTTAATTACTGTGCTTGCCCCACGTTAATCAGATTTCTCATTGCTGTGATAGTGTGTCTCAAAGGGTAGTCGAAGGCTAACTGCACCAGACATACCTAAGGCTCCTGTTGAAAATGCAGATTCTTGCACCCAGATCACTGAATTAGACTTTCTAGGATTCTACATTTTACTAGGATCCCAGAGGGCAATTAACTGTCTTCATGTGCATATGACTTTTAAGGCTCTTATTCCTGAATGAATATAACCAGCCAGGATTTGAGCCATTTTACTCCTGGGGCTTGAGACATACTCCATTGTGAAAAGGATATTCAATGATAGTATGTACTACTTATGTTAGAGAAAAGTCAGATCAAAAAGTACCGCCTTTAAGGGAGCCTAATTTAAATAAGATGGATATATTTGGAGTCATATACAAAATAGCCAAGCAAGGCCAGTGTAACATACTTCATTATTATGTGGAGGCAGCTTGACCTGGAATAGCCTGGAACACCATGAAGAAGTAGTAAAACTAGACCAAGTGGGCAGGAGCCGTCCCTGGAGTGGACAGAAATGAATGTCAGCCAGTCTAGGAGTCAGGAGGTGGCATTGTGGGACAAAGCCAGAGACAAACACCAGATGTCCAAATAGACGACACCAAAAGTTAAACAGAGGAGTAAGATTCATGAACATGAATCTTGGACCACAGAATGGGAATGCGAAGGGTAGCCAAGGTAACAGGAAATCAAGCTCCAATCAGAAATCCGGGCAACCCAGTTTAATTTTGGTGGGTGGAGTTTAATCTGGCTTAGAGCTAACTAACTCAGGATACGAGTGATGTCTTCAAGATACCATCTGATGCCTCAGAGTTGCTTCTCTTAAAAGAACTTCTTACCTTAAAACCCCAGGTTTTAATCAGGTCATCTCCAAGTCCCTGTGTTATAAAGAACTTTGGTTTCTTGTAAGTGACGTGTGCTTGTGTGTGCTGTGATGCCTTAGCCGTCTGATATCTTTAGAGAATAAGGTGACTCTAATTATCTAGACAACTGCAGTTTACTACTTTAAGCTCTAACATCAATGAGAATATTTGCATTTTTGGAAAGAAATGTTTCTAAAATGTATTCGCTCTTGGCAGCCTATTGACAGAGTATACTAAGTATCATTTAACCTTTCCTTGATGACTCAGATACTTGAGCACTTTGATGTATTGATGCCCTCCAGAGTTATAAAATTGTATGGGGCTTGCCTTGTTCTTTCATTGAATTTTACCAACGATTTTGCCTGTGTGTTTGGCCTTGGCATTCAGTGATGCGCTTGGGCCTCGGGAGGTGTGTAGAACCATTTGCCCCCAAGCTAAATGGCCCTACATGGCTATGCTGCTCTGCTTGGTGTTTTTCCTTGTTCTCTCTTATGATCATCTCTGTTTCTACGGTCACTCCCTATTCTTGTCAGTAACTACCTGCTGCCCCAGCGATATGACCATCTGTCTTCAGTCTTTGCACTCCTGATAGTGACCCTAGCAAAACTAAAAGTGACAAATGAAATCAGATACTCAAATGGTATGTGTAAGGTCAAACACACTCATCTGAGCCTGGCCGGTATGGCTCAGTGGTTGAGCATCTACCCATGCACCAAGAGGTCACCAGTTTGATTCCTGGTCAGGGCACATGCCCAGGTTGTGGACCCAATCCCCAGTAGGGGGCATGTAGGAGGCAGCCAGTCAATGTTCTCTCTCATCAATGTTTCTATCTCTCTCCCTCTTTCTTCCTCTCTCTCTAAAGTCAATAAAGAAAAATATTTTAAACACACTCATCTGAGAAGAGGGACAGTGCTTGAACCCCTCTTTAAGAAGTAAAATGGGTGGGCTTGTGTTTATTCATTGAGCTGATAGTTATCAAAAGTGCCCAGTATATGTTAGCCGAAGTTGAACAAACCATGGTCAGGACAGCCTCCCAGCCTAGAGAGAACTGGACTTGTAGGCAAGGGACCCAGGCCAACTTCAGACTGGGTCTGTGAGTTCGGGTAGGAAGGCAGAAGTACAGTACCAAATCCTGGGCCAACACAATGTGTTAGGACTCAGGACGCTGTGTAGCTATCTAACACTCTCCCCATTGCTTGGGCTCCCAGTTTTGCTGGCAACAGAAGGCTGGCCACACTGGTGGCAGGTGGAAATACAGCAGTGATATCCGAGTCACCAAATCCCAGACTGGCTGGAACCAGCTCGTGGGGGTGGGCCATGAGTGGCTTGAGGTGCTGGGGACTGCAATAACTGAAGTGGGGATTTCCCCCTTGACCTGCCGCAGGTGGTCCTCAGCCTTGGAAAAGATATGGTCGTGGAAATGAATAATTATTGTATTGTAGGGTACATACTGTACAAGCCCAAGACAGGAGGGTTTGTTCTAGGGGTGAATTAGGAGATTCCCCTCAGGGGAGGTGACATTTAAGCTAGGTTGTAAAGGAGGAGTAGAAGTTTGCCAGGTCAAAGAAGGAAAAAAGTAAATGTCAGACAGAAGGGCTTGAAACTTTCTTGTGAATCATTGTTTAGTTAATAGATGTGTTTCAGAATGTTCAGGTTGTCTAAAATATGACAACCAGAGAAATAGATTCTTACTCTAAGTTTATATATGTTTCAAGCATATTACAGCTAAAAATAAATTTCTGTCTAACATCTGTAGGTGCTTAAAGGTAGGACAATTAGCAAATCCCTAATTTATACTTCTGTTTATTCATTTTACTAGTAGAAAGTGAATTCATGTAAGTCATGTTTTATACCCAATA